TTCTCTTTATGTGAGTTTTTCAGATTGAACTAAAGTTAGCGGTGGTTATTCTCTGGGAGGAGGACGCTTACAGTTTCCTTTTGGACCGAATCTCAGAAAGGGTTTGAAAACTGGATCAAAGAAGAAGACTGAGAGGAGAAATTACATATTTCATGAAAAGTAAGAGACTCCAAAGATCATCGGATGAGGTGCAACTTGCAAAGGAACATTTAACAGAGTTTCATTTGAGGTTTTTATTTGTATTCTTATGAACGCTAAGAGGTTAAAAGTGGGCGGAGCAACCATATGTTAGTGTAGGTTTCTGCAGGGGTTTGTACAAAGATGAAAATCATTTAAATAAAAACTTGAGTTTCAGAGATGAATAACAAAAAAAAAATGTAAATGGTTTAGAAAGAGGGAATCAGTCAATTAATTCCTCTGGTAGAAAAAGAATAGATTAATATAGAAATGTGTTTTATTTTGAAAAGTTGCCTAAGGAGCTGCGTGGCCATGGTGCAGCTCAGAGCTTTCACAGAACAGCCAACTGCCCAGCGGGTCTCTTGTTCTCTGGTGGGACTGAGCTCCTTTTTGTCAGACCACAGCTGGGAGCGACGTTCATTGTGTTCTGCTCGACGGGAAAACAGCCACTTCAACCAGAACCAGCAGCAGGTGGAGAACCGGTTCAAGCTGCGCCTGCCTGAGTTCAAGAAGGCAGCAGGAAACAAAAGAGAAACCGCCAGTGTTCCTGATGTCCATAAAGACTCAGGAAAAAACACAGAAGAGTCATAAAACTGGAATATTACATTCATTCTGAATAACTGATAAAACAAAGAGAAAAACTGTTGAGATAAAAACAACCCAGAATGAATCAGTTTCAACTGTTCTATAATTTAGACTCTATTCTAGATTTTCAACTAGAATATAAATAATAAGCTAAATAAGATTTGGAGTCTGTTAACAGCCCAGCGTTTATCCTTCATCTGAAGGAAGATGTGATTAAATATTTAGTTAAAAACAGGAAGTCTGTAAAGGCGGATTAAAAAGGTTGCAGTGAGATGAATTCAACCAAATTCCTTTTTGTTATTTATTAACAAAAAGGGAAAACTCAAATTACCAGAAGTTTTTTGGTTTCCTGTTATGGATGCGATAAAAGATTAGATAAATACGGGGGCCCTGAAGTGCAAACTGCAACTACAAATCTAAAAGCGCAACTAGATTAAGGAAAACACAATTACATTCAAGGGTCAAACGGCGCCGTCGTCCAATCAGCGATGTCTCATGTTTCCCACTGGTACCTACCTTTTCCGGTAGGTTAATGTAGTTGTGATTTCCTTAATGTAGTTGCGCTTTTAGATTTGTAGTTGCAGTTTGCACTTCAGGGCCACCGTAGATAAACGGTGAAAATTAAATGTTTATAACTGCTCACTAAATGCATCTATAGTGCTGGTTTCCTGTTTGGCCCCATTTGGTTTACAAGCAGGTTTTCTCACCCCGTCCTCAGTCCATTGACCACCCCCGACTTTTCAACAGTTCAACAAAAAAAAATCAACTGCAGTAAATTACATCTTGCACTGAAAATAAACTACAATTCATTTAAATCATAAAACTCCTACTTTAGACACACCTTAATGTCTAATTTTCTTGATTTTTACTGTTTAAAAAAACCCAGTAATGATTCAATGCATTCGATCTATAGCTCCAATTCACATCATGTCATCTCAGCTCACTTTCCAGTTCACCAGATCATCCAGTCAGATTGATTTAAAGTTTTCTATCTAAGGAAAACCAGCTGATTGCATCGACTCATTGACTCTTCAGCAATCCCTCACACTAAGCAAGCTTGTAGCGACAGTGGAGAGGAAAAACTCCCTTTGAACAGGAAGAAACCTCCAGCAGAACCAGGCTCAGTGTGAGCGGCCATCTGCCGCTATATTTTTCCAAGTTAGCAAAAATGTATTTCTTAAAAGCAATGAATTTGCATCCTTTTCTTTAACGTAAAATCAGCTTAATGCAGCTAAAAAGTTTTCTGAGAAGAGTCCCTTAGAGCTAAAGCCTCTGTCGTCTGATGAGACAGGAAATAACGGCACAGACCAAAGTAGGACTCCTTTCCAACATGAAATTACCACACAGAGGCTGTAATAAGCTCACACCTGCAGCAGGGCCGGCCCTCACACCCCCATCCTGCACACTTTGATCTGAAAGGACAGGAAGCCACAGACTCTGTGTGTGTGTGTGTGTGTGTGTGTGGCGGGGGGGTTGTGTGTGTGTGTGTGTGTGTGTGTGTTTGGGGGTGGGTTTGTGTGTGTGTGTGTGTGTTTGGGGGTGGGGTTGCAAGAAGGAATGTTTCAGCAGAGTAAACAGTGTGAAGCTTCCTGTAGAAAACACTTCAAAGCCCCTGAGAGGAAACCAGGATAATGCACACACCAGCACACATCAAAGGCAGGTAGGAATCATCTATCAACAGGAGAAAACTGAAACGGCTGCATCCAAACGCACACAGTCCCACAGACCATCAGACACAACAGACCCTGGCTCTAAATGCAGCCGCCTGATTATTCAGGACTGGATCTGTGATCATGAGCCTCCGCAGAGCAGCTGCTCCTCTTTACCAACACAGGAAGACAGGAAGAAGACTTCACATCTGGATGCTGGTGAAGATTCTCAGTCATCCAGGTCATAGTCATTGCAAACAAGTTAAAAAACAATCCACTGGACTTTGTTTCCAAGTTTAAAGACGTTTCTCTTCCATCCAGGAAACTTTTTAAAAATGTCAGAAATAGCGTTGAGTTTGAGGCTTTTCCTATAAACCTGGAACTCAGCTCTATTCCTGACATTTTAAATTGAAAAAGTGTCCTGGATGGGAAGAGAAACGTCTTCAAACTTGGAAACAAAGTCCAGTGGATTGTTTTTAACTTTTTTGGGGATTCACATCTGGATGTTTTTAGCTGGATTGCTTGTTTGAGGAGAATGATTCGATGGCGCCTGCAGCACAGGGTGGCAAAGCATAGGACAGCTTTCTCAAACACATAGAGGGGTCCATGCACATCTTCCTATACATAAAAAAACTCCAAATCTAACAAACGTCCCAGAAATCCCAATGAATCTCATCTAATCATGAAAGAAATCCACTGAAAAATGGTTTAAAATCTGTTTAAATGAAGACAGTGTTGGGTTGGAGACGATCAGGCTGTAGACTCATCCTTAAGAAGAGCTGCAGTCATATGGAGCCAAACTGGAGCCAGAAAGTTTGTTAGAAGACATGCATTTTAAACAGGAAATTATTTAGAAACTGAAAAAAAAGATTAGAATTATAAAATTAAAGATCTTAAACCAGAAATATTTTCTGAAGCTGAAAATAAAATAAGATTTGAAACTTAAAAATAATGTTTAAAATGCTATTTAGATTCAAGTGTGGTTCTTTCCTAGTTCTGTTTGCCCCTCAGTGTGGGAGGCGGAGTTTAGATGACATGGTTTTATTTTTTTTTTAAACAATCATATAAACATAGTTTGGCTATATTTAAAGACATTTTTAGTTCCCATTGTTCCTGAATGCAAAAGCTGGGAGTATTTAAATTAGCAGCTTAAGCTGACAGTCATCACTTCACACCCCACATCATCCACCCCCCCACCGAGGGGGCAGCTGCTTGTTTAAAAAAATGTATTTTGTTCACTTTTAAATCCTTTTTTTCTCCCGTTATTTTTTTTTCCTTTTTTCTGCAGTTTCAAATGATTTTATTTCAGAAAGATTTGTGGCCCCAATTTAGCTCCATATACCTGATCACTGAAAAGATCAACTTCCACAAATGGCTCCAGTTTGAAACCAGCTGATTTATTCCAGTGCTTCCAGTTTATCCCTCATTACTGGAAATATCTTCATGAATCCCCGAGACACATCGTCTTAAAAACCTCAATTAATTGAAATATCAGTTTAATAAAAGTTACCACTTTGTTTCAAATTATACTGGTTCTTACCTACATTTTGCCATTTGACTCATTTAACCAAAAACAGATTATTTCCCCGTAAAAAGATACAGATACATGTTTATATACCGAAGTCATAAAACCATGTTTCTTATGTGAAATAACTAGAAACCAAAAGCTGACAGTTATTACAGAAACAGTCAGACCAGAAGGCTGCATATCACACCTGAAACAGTCAGTAAGGAAACGACCAACAATACAGGAGGTAAAAAAAAGGACCTGAGCTCCACTGAAGTGCTGCTGGAGCAGGAAATGTAGAATCAAAAACGGAATGAAACCAAATTAAAATAATAAACAGCTGTATTTTATGTGGAAGAGCTAAAAAAAATATCTGATTTTCATAAAACGGATGAAAAATCGATTTGATTTGAAGATCCTGCATTTTAAGTCAGTTTCTTATATCACCAATCTAACTGTATTATTTTAACTTGTTTATTTTTATTCAGGTTTTAAGTTTGGGGTCTAGATATTTATTCTAACGACACATGAAATCAGAACAGGAGTTTGAACATTAAATGAATCTGAGTAATTATGTTTATGAAAGAAGATCAAACAGATGAACAAGAAATAATCTGATCAAAGGTCCTGAAAGCAACTTAAAAAAATATATAATAATAATAAATATATATATATATATATATTTCCTTTTTTATTACTTACTTATAGAGCTAGACTTTTTAAAGCATTTTATGCTTATATATTTCCTTTTTTATTACTTACTTATAGAGCTAGACTTTTTAAAGCATTTTATGCTTTTTTTCTATGATCATATGTAAATATACTTAATCCTGCTGGGGGGGGGGGGTAATAAAGACGCATCATGTGGTTTGAATTAGAGCTTTTTTTCCCTTAGAATCTAAAATCTTTAAGTTGAATGCTGGAGAAGTGGGATTAAAAGTTGAGCAATTTTTTATATTTTAAGAATAATTTGAGAAAAGATGAAAGCAGTAGAGCCGCTCAGGTAGAGACGCGCAGAACACCTGGACTCTAAAATGAGCGTCAGTCAGGAGCGGAAAGGCGCGCGCTGCTTTGGTTTTTACCCTGTAGCCGCATCGCTCCTGGTTTGATCTTCTGCTGTTTAAAGTCCCGGATCCAGAGGAGGCGCAGAAAAGCAGGAAAAACACGCAGATAAAGGAGAAAAAACTCCGAGAGGAGGCCATGCCGTTCCCAGTCCTCCGAACAACTCTCTGCTCCGACACCCCACGCAGGACTTTAGCTGGAGAGCCACGGGAAGGGGCCGAGCCTGCTGTATGGCAGGACCTTTTATCATATAAATGGCTGTGCCCTGCAAACAGACCTGGACACATTTTATTTAAACCCTGAATGCCATGATGGGCTGAGTATTATACTGAAAAATGAATGTAAAAGTTTTTGGCATTTACTCAATCATATTTACTTACTTTAACACAGAGACTTACTTTGTACCAGAGACTGCACCTTACCTGCACTACCTCAGCCTGGAACAAACTATTGCTGCTGTTTTTATTGCTTTTTATTGTAATGTTTATACTTCATACTTATATTTATCTTACCACTCTTACCTGTCATGTCCCGCACTTTATGTCAGTTTTTAAATGTCAGTCTTGTATATTTCTTGTATATTTGTATATTGCAGAGTAAACGTAATTTCATTTCCCTTGTATGTCTTGTACATATGTAGAAAATGACAATAAAAGCTGGCTTGACTCGACTTGACTTGACAATTGTTTCATGTTCGCAGGGTAGGACATAAACAATTGTGTTAAAGTACAAAATATGATTAAGTAAACCCAAAAACTGTTAAATTCATTTTTTCAGAGTAGGGCAAGCCTAGAGATTTTTTTAAATTCTATTTCGAGATAAAAGTCTTCATATTACGAGAATAAATTCGTAAAATTACGAGAATAACTTCAGAACATTACGAGAATAAAGTCGCAATATTAAGAGACACAAGTTTTATTTTATGACGACTCCTACAAGAAGCCCTGTCTTCCCTAAAAAGGTGGAATGTGGAGCATCATGTGTAGGTCTACTTTAGCATCGGTTTGACAAATCAGGAAATCTTTTAGCAGCAGCATCAAACTGGGCAGGATGTCAAAGTGGACTCTGGTTGCTGATTGGTGGAGCTGGTCGACCATCATCTGCTGTTCTATAATGACTTTATTCTCGTATTATTATGACTCTATTCTCGTATTATTATGACTTTATTCTCGTAGTGTGATGACTTTATTCTTGTAATGTTACGACTTTATTCTTGTAATGTTACAACTTTATTCTTGTAGTGAGACGACTTTATTCTCGTAATGCTACGACTTTATTCTCGCAATTTTACAACTTTATTCTTGTAAGTTTACAACTTTATTCTTGTAAGTTTACAACTTTATTCTTGTAAGTTTACAACTTTATTCTTGTAAGTTTACAACTTTATTCTTGTAGTGTGACAACTTTATTCTCGTAATGTTACGACTTTATTCTTGTAATGTTACGACTTTATTCTCGTAATTTTACGACTTTATCACAATATTACGACTTCGTTCTCGTAATGTTACGACTATATCACGACGTTAGGACTTCGTTCTCGTAATGTTACAACATTATTCACATAATTTTACGACTTTATTCTCGCAATGTTACAACTTTATTCTCATAATTTTACGACTTTATTGTCGTAATTTTACGACTTTATTCTCGTAATGTTACGACTTTATTCTCGTAATGTTACGACTTTATTCTTGTAGTGAGACGACTTTATTCTCGAAATAGAAGAAAACAAATCTCTAGCATGGCCCTAACACTGCATTGTACAACACTTAATGGGCCCCTTGGCAAAATGAGATTTTGGGGCCCTCAATAGGGCAATCTCTCGCTGTGTTATTTGTCCGATGATCAGATCATTTAAACGCGTACTATAAAATCATTGCAGCTCTGGTAGATGCATAGATCTTCTGCATCATCAAGTGTTATTAAAAGTAATAAAATTAACTAGTAGGCAGTTTATTTACAATAGATGCTGCATGGTTTATATCTTTGGGTTGCAACTATGGAGTAAAGTTTTTTTTTTTATTGTTGGAAGTTAAGAAAATGAATACAAAAAAGTGAACTTGGATAAAAATGCAATCTAAAAATGAAGCTTCGAAAAACATCTTGATTAAAAAAGCTTTTAAATTAAATTGGCTGTTTTCTCAGGTTATATTTTTCAAATTTGATTATTCAAACGTTATTCTACATTTTTTTATAGATTTAATTTTTTCACATTTACTTTTTTTTTCAAATTTCTCTATCAGATTTAGTTTTGCGCACTTTTCAAATTGAATTTCAGATTATTTTCTCATTACTTCAGTCCCAATCAAACACTCACTCTTGACCAAAAAGACCTGAGGAGCTAAAATTGTGAATAAAAGTTCTAAATAAACTCTTTTAATTTACAAAAGCTGTTTTTTTTTTCTTTCAAATTTTCAGTTACAAAACATGTTATTTGCTTTCTGTAATGGCACAAAATTCCCTCCATAGGGGTGTTGATAATAATACATAATAAAAATAAAGAATGTGTTGCTCTCAGGAGCTCAGTGAAATCCAGCCTGGAACTCTGATGAGAGGTCACCTGGGCAACAAATCTATAATCTGGGCAACAAATCTATAATCTGGGCAACAAATCTATAATCTGGGCAACAAATCTATAATCTAATCTAATATCTGCTCTTCATGTACAACTTTCACCAGTTTGTTCCAGAGTTTTTATTCCCACTGTATGTTTGTGTGTCCCTTTAGAAGCTCACCAAAAAAACTAACTCCTCATACAAGAAAAACCATTACCTACCAATAGAATGTTCCCTGATTAAGGACAAGCTGGCATTTTATGCTACACTCACTTGCCACACCGAGGTAGAAACCTAGTATTGGTTTCCTAGTTGCAGATTTATGGAGACATGAATGTGTTGTAATATAGGCTCTATGAGAACATTATTGTGGAAAAACTCCCAAATCGCTTCATGTCTTCATCAGTCGTCTCTTTATGCTTCTGAAGCGGCTTTGATCAGAAGCTCACTGTTTTCTTTAAAGTTTTTTTTCAGTTGTTGTTGTTTTCCCCCCAAATGTAATCATCAGTTTCAATAATTCACAAAATAAATTACATTTAAACATTACTCAGGGGCGGATTTAGGAAATTTGGGGCCCTAGGCAAAGGCAGGCAGGGGCCCCTCTGAATGGAGAAGACAACACATAATCAGCCCCATTCTACAGATAGAGAAATGTTAATAGAATAGACATCCATTATCTGTTCTAGGTTGTGTCCCTCTCTTCTTGTCCCTTTTCTTCTTGTTTTCCTCTCTATGTTTTGTACTCAGCTGACTTTTCATGCTGTCTCTAAAGGAATGAAAGATTTTTTCCAAGCACTAAGCTCACTTAGCTGATTGCTCCTTCCTGTGTTTCCAAAAAGGCCAAAGTAAATAACCCAGTCCTTCTTTTCACTGTAGACAAGTCATGATCTGCTTCTCTGTTCTCCATTTATCATTTGGATGAAATAATAGCTGCATGAATCATGACAGCAGACAAGATAGAGGAGAGCAGGAGGCAGGGTTACCAATCTACTTGCTCTGGAGAGCAGAGTTCGCTGCTTTTAGATGTTGTCTCCAAAGTCTCCAGTAGCAGAAAAAAGTCTCTAGATTTGGCGCTAGGAGCTTTTTAGAAATCAAAGTGCTAGAGGGGTCTGAAAAGTGGCTAAATATAGCGACTAAAGCGCTAAGTTAGCAACACTGCTCTTTGCATGGTTTGTTTTCAAATGGTTTGCTGCTGTCTGTTTGGACCTTTCTGAACATGTGCAGCAAATGGACTGATCCAATATGGTGGACACTGAAGGGGGGGCTGAGACACACTTAATATTATCAGCATTCTGATGGCATTTTAGCCAAAGGATTTTTATCAAAAACATAATTAATGTGCACAAATAAGGAATAGTTGTATTAACCACACATGGAAACAGAGTTTTAGGGGGCCCCCAGGAACTTGGGGCCCTAGGCAGCTGCCTAGTATTGCCTAATGGTAAATCCCCTGCTGACAGTAACATAACTATAAATCCTTACCCCCCAACATTAAACAAAATATTGCTTACAGCTGTTACACGTCCCATTTAACTAGAATTAGAATTAAAGTTAGCATCTCCAGTAGGGAATGACCAATCCTAGTCTATAAAGCACTAATAAATGACATGTTGAATTTTACTAAACTTAGTTGATTAAAAGCAAAGTGTATTATACATTTATGTTTTAACATATCTGTTAAAAGCATTTTAGACTAAAGCTTGAATAAATTCATGTTGTGAAAATGCTAATAAGGGTTAAATTGCGGTTAATTATTCCAATTTAGTTTGGTTTAATTAATCTACTCAAGTTAAAAGAGCATTATTAGCTTTAGTGGAACCAGGTTATCTAACTGGGTTTAGTAATTGTAACATTTACATTATATATATATATATATATATATATATATATATATATATATATATATATATATATATATATATATATATATATGCATGGAGGGTTCCACCCAAAATCCAGCACCCGGAGACTGTACACCAAGCGTAGTGGGGGAGGCCGAGGGCTAGTGAGTGTCAAGACCACTGTCCAGGATGAAACAACTAAGATCCAGGAGAACATCAGGAAGATGGCCCCCAAAGACAAATGGCTTGGCGAATACCTCAGGCAGGAGAAAACTGAAAGTGAGGACAAGAAAGAGGAAGAACCATCATGGAGGGACAAGCCGCTGCACGGCGTATACCACAGACAAATAGAAGAAGTGGCTGATATCAAAAACTCCTACCAGTGGCTGGAAAAGGCTGGACTGAAGGACAGCACAGAGGCACTAATCATGGCAGCACAAGAACAGGCACTCAGTACAAGATCAATAGATGCCAGGGTCTACCACACCAGGCAGGACCCCCGATGCAGACTGTGCAAAGATGCCTCTGAAACAATACAGCACATAACAGCAGGGTGTAAAATGCAGGCAGGAAGTGCATACATGGAACGCCACAACCAGGTAGCTGTCATAGTGTACAGGAACATCTGCCATGAGTATGGGCTGGAAGTCCCAAGGTCAAAATGGAAGACACCTCCTAAGGTAGTATATATATATATATACATACACGTTCTTATATAACATTATATAACAACATATACACAACATGTTTTATATAAGAACTTGTATGACTCCATTATGCCCTCTTGTGGCTAATGTCGGATGCCTGATGTAGTAATAAACAGCTGCAGCTTCTCACTCAGAAGTTTCTGCAGGTCCATGGGATCCTGATATTTTCTTCCAAAAGAAGCAATTCATTCAAATTATTGATGCAGGTTCACATTTTTTTCATCAGTTGGGACAAGCGTGTCAGATGATGGATGGATGGTGTTAAGAAGCAATACGATTTTCTGTTATGTTCAGCTTCTAGAGTGTGTGTGTATAAGATCCTTTTATTTTTTTGAATTGTTACCTTTGTGGGCGTTTCCTTTTAGAAGCCATCTTGGAACCTTGCTAAGGAGGAGGCCCGCCTCAAACCCAGCTCTCTTATAGAGGGAGCCATGATGGCTGAACTTTGATTGGCTGAGGGTAAACTGAGAAGGCGGGGATAACAGTATATAGGTGGACTGCTGGCTGTAGTAAGGGTCTGATGGGAAAGCTGGCATTTTGATCTAAGTAGAACTATGCTCTGATGAAAGAGACCTAATAAATCACCTTTTGTTTTTGCTCCAACCAACTTTGCTCAATTTTTTCCTTCCACACCTCTCAGCGCAATGGATGGATGGTTAAATATTATAAATAAAAAGACAACTAGGTCTACTAACAGAAATTAACTAATAAATCAAGCTAAAAATATATAAATAAAACAATAATTATGAGTCTGCATGGCTGGCAATAATAGTGATAATAATAATAAACTGAATGTTAGTTTTCCCTGTTTCGACCTGCCACTCTCTTAAAAAAAATCTAATAAATTTATTTGATTTTTTTAACAGAGAAGCAGAATTATGCTTCCACAGTAGGACGTGTTGTCTTCGAAAATTTGTTCTTAATTATGGCGAAAATTATGAAAATGCTCAAATTAAAGGTATAATTAAAATCTACATGCGCTGCATTTTTAACATCTTAATAACGTATTTATGTAGCCCTTTACAACACACAGGGTGACCTTTGACCTTCAGGCCTTGATTGGGATCCAAACGCACAAAAGTTCAGGCAGGTATGAAAAGGCAAAAGCATTAAGGGATTTAAAAACAATCTGCAACGGTTTAAAACCGATCCTGACGGAAACTGGAAGCCATTGATAAGCAGAAATATTGGGCCAACGTCGGCGAATGCGGGTTAAAAAGCGAGCAGCAACATTTTGAACCGCCTGAAGAGGGTCGATTGATGACTGGGAGACTCAGACGTAGGTTGTGTTGCTATAGTCAATTCTCCAGCTTATAAATGCATCAATAGTTTTTCTTGAGAGCAATAAGATTTAAAAAAAAGTCTTATCTTTGTGACAGATTTAATTAAAGCTGTATGCTGATGAAGAATCCCAGTCAACCAGATCATAGTCATTCCGTAAAAGTCATTCCGGACTTGGTTTCAAAGGTTTGAAGACGTTTCGCTTCGCCTCCAGTAAACTTTCTCGATTCAAATGTCTGGATCCGCAGTTAGTTTGAGGATTCTTAGGAATGCGAACAAAAAGCTGAGAAAATTAGAGACACACTTCACACATATATATATATATATATTGTGTGTGTGTGTATAAATATATTGTGTTTATTGAGTGATGTCTTCCAAAGCTCTGATTATTACTACATCAATTCAAACAGAAATCCACTGCACAGTGGCGAGGCATCCTTCTTCTGTTCTGGTTAAACCAGCTGGTTAGGGTACCAGGTCGACCTCCCCAAGATGGCGCCCGTAACTCCTGCAACGTGACAGTCAATGCTGGGTCTACTCTTATGTCTATGATCAGCAGATCAGGAGATGAAAGAAGCTCTGAGGACTTCAGTTCTAAAGAACTTCTTATTGTAGAGATTTGATGGAAAACAGTAAACGTAGAAGTTTAGCTTAGATTTCATTCACACCTACAATCACTGAACTCTCAGCCGACCTGCTTCATGGGTTCTGAGGTCGATCACATCAGAAAAGCTCATCTAGAGTTCAGCTTTAAGAAACATTTTTATTTCCTTCAGTCATTTATTAAACTTATAAAAATAGAATCAGCATGATGCCTTCAGGGGCTCAGAGCTCGTAGTTCAGCAGGAAACAGGTAAATAAAACTGGAACCAGTGTAAGGGGAGGGGCTTAGCGTGTGTTCAGAAATGATTGAACCTGAAAGGCAGCGTCCTGATTGGTCGGTTGAGGTGATAAATCCAGAATGTTCCAGAATGTCTTTTGGCCTTGAAGTATTCCTGATCCGCTGGTTCTGGTTGGTGGAACTAAACCAGCAACTTTAGATCATTTGACAGGAAACAGGAGCCCAGGTTAAGGTCCTTGTTGACGCCGTCTGTCAGGAACACGGCGCCTACAGCCACGTGCCGCGGACGCCATCATGTGCGGTGAGCTGTAGAGGGAAGGCGCCGCTCGTTGACCCGCCGGTTCCTCTGAGGGACCAGATCCGTCTCCAGCTCCCTCTGCTTCTGTAACAAACCCTAAAAACAAAAACAGATAGCAGCAGGATGAAGGCTGAGCCGCAGAAAGAGCCATTAGATCCAGGAAGTGGCAGCCTAGTGGTTAGGGCTTAGAGCCTGGAACCCTGAGGTTCTGAGTTCAAGCCCCACTCCAACAGACTGCCACTCTGAGTCCCTGAGCAAGACCTTTAACCCCACACTGCTCCCCAGGTGCCCCATGATGGCAGCCCACTGCTCCCCAAGGGGATATTCATGTTCTAGATGCCACATGTTGGAGCTTGGCCTGTTTTCCAGTGTAGTCCTGTTTCTCTGACTGTGACTAACTGGATGTGCTCTCTTCATCCTCTGACATGGGAGCTGGCTCGGAGCTCGTCTGCCTGGCTGTGTGTTTCCTGGACGGGGCCGCCTGTGGAGCTGGTTGACAGTTGCCTTTTGTATCTATGCTTCTTTTTCTATGTCTGCTTCTGTCTCCTTGAACCCCAGTGGGCCTCAGCAGATGGCCGCTCACACTGAGCCTCCTTCTGCTGGAGGTTTCTTCCTGTTCAAAGGGAGTTTTTCCTCTCCGCTGTCGCTACAAGCATGCTTAGTGTGAGGGATTGCTGAAGAGTCAATGAGTCGATGCAATCAGCTGGTTTTCCTTAGATAGAAAACTTTGAATCAATCTGACTGGATGATCTGGTGAACTGGAAAGTGACCTGAGATGACAAGATGTGAATTGGAGCTATAGAAATAAACTGAATAGAACTGAATTGAGGATGGGTTAAATGCAGAAGTAATTTATCCAATGTGAGATCAATAAAGTTTATTTATTATTATTACTAGAAAAGTTCAGCTGCAGCAGGAGAGATGCTACACACACAATGTCTGGTTTTACTATTCTGTTGGGGACTTTCCACTGAACTCCATTCATGTGTGAGTAAGTTATACAGCCTAACTGTGACACTAACCCTAACAATCACAGGTACATAACTAACCCTAAACTAAAGTTAATTCACACCTTAGTCCTAACATCACTAATCTGCCCCAAGCAGACCAGATGGAGGTCCCCATAAGAATGGTTGATCTCCACGATTAAACGCTCCACCCAGCAGTCAATCAGCTGTTAGGAAAAAAATGACGTGTCTTTGATTGAAGACCTGATTTAACTAAGAGGGGAACATTTTTTAACAAAACAACATCAGAACAAAAGAACCAAAATCAAACAAAACAAAACGTTTAAATCTCAGCTGGTAAAATAGATCTGGTTCAGAAAATATGCAGAGGAAGAGAACAGAGAGCTTGTTACCTGCCGAAGCCGAGCCAGGCCTCTGAGGATCTGCTGCTGCCGCTGGGTGTGGGGGAGCGGGTCCGAACGGGTTGGGACGGAAACACCAGAACCTGAGCAGGAGGAAACGGGCATCAGATAACAGGACTCTCCTAAGCAAGGGGGGGGGGGGTTACTATTCGGCAATACCAGGCAGTTCCCATAAAACTCTGTTTCCATGTATGATTAATAAAACTATTCCTTATTTTTTCTTATTCCTTATTTTGATTTTTGATAAAATCCTTTGGCTAAAATGCCATCAGAACGCTGATAATATTAAGTGAGTCTCAGCCCCCCCCCTCAGTGTCCACCATTTTGGATCAGTCCATTTGCTGCACATGTTCAGAAAGGTCCAAACAGACAGCAGCAAACCATTTGAAAACAAACCATGCAAAGAGCAGTGTTGCTAACTTAGCGCTTTAGTCGCTATATTTAGCCACTTTTCAGACCCCTCTAGCACTTTGATTTCTAAAAAGCTCCTAGCGCCAAATCTAGAGACTTTTTTCTGCTGCTGGAGACTTTGGAGACAACATCTAAAAGCAGCGAACTCTGCTCTCCAGAGCAAGTAGATTGGTAACCCCGCCTCCTGCTCTCCTCTATCTTGTCTGCTGTCATGATTCATGCAGCTATTATTTCATCCAAATGAAAAATGGAGAACAGAGAAGCAGATCATGGCTTGTCTACAGTGGGGTTCTGGTTGGTAAGATGGAGACGGCTCCTCAGCATCCAGAACCAGCTGCTGTTTTTTCAAGAATTTAAACAGAAAGGAGATGTGTAGAGATCCAACCTGGGGGTGGCAGCATGTCGGTGGGCTCAAGGGGGTCCAGGCTGAGGACCTCATCGGTCCGAAGGTAAGGAAGAAAGTCCTGAGCTGGAGGAGGAGAGCGCCCTCTGGAGGAAACCCTCAATAAGGTCTCTGGTTCTGAGAGGGGTCCGGTTAGAGCTGCTCCATGATGGTGGTCAGGAAAGCGACTGCTGGATCAGAACCAATTCTCATTAAAGTGCAACTGATAAAAAGAATCAAACATGATGGAGAGAAAAGGTACTGTCTGAGCTCCTCACCGCTCGGCGCCGCTGGCCGTCTGGTTCTGGCCGGGTCCATTAAGACCAGCTGGAATCTAGAAAAATCAGCAAACTTTAACAACCATCACCTAAATCTGGATCTGCACCAACAACAGGCCTCATGGTTCCTACCTTCTTAACGGGTCCGCAGGGACCGGCCTCCTGGCTCTGAGCAGGAGGTTCGGTTCTGCACAGGCGGGTTCTCTCCTGTAGAGCGAGGAGCTCTGCCTGCCGCCTCAGTCGGCTCTCCTGCCTGTTCTTCTGCAGAGCCACCGGGTACCGCTCCGAGGCGGGAACGAACCGCCGGCTAGGCCTGGAGAAAGCAGCAGAACCAGAACCTCATGAGAAGATCTGAAGATCTGAAGCTCTGAGTCTGAGACCCTCCTGGCCCGCTCGGCCTCTGCAACGTTCTCCTAACTCTAACGATAAGTTATCTTTAAATGAAACCTCTAAGAACCGGGGAGCCACTGACCTTTAACCTCTGGGTTCTAATAGATGGAACCTCTAAAGGATAAAGGAACCACTGACCTTTAACCTCTGGGTTCTAATAGAGGGAACCTCTAAAGGATAATGGAACCACTGACCTTTAACCTCTGGGTTCTAATAGAGGGAACCTCTAAAGGATAATGGAACCACTGACCTTTAACCTCCGGGTTCTAATAGATAGAACCTCTAAAGGATAAAGGAACCACTGACCTTTAACCTCTGGGTTCTAATAGATGGATCCTCTAAAGGATAAAGGAACCACTGACCTTTAACCTCTGGGTTCTAATAGATGGAACCTCTAAAGGATAAAGGAACCACTGACCTTTAACCTCTGGGTTCTAATAGATGGAACCTCTAAAGGATAAAGGAACCACTGACCTTTAACCTCCGGGTTCTAATAGATGGAACCTCTAAAGGATAAAGGAACCACTGACCTTTAACCTCCGGGTTCTAATAGATGGATCCTCTAAAGGATAAAGGAACCAGTGACCTTTAACCTCTGGGTTCTAATAGATGGAACCTCTAAAGGATAAAGGAACCACTGACCTTTAACCTCCGGGTTCTAATAGATGGAACCTCTAAAGGATAATGGAACCACTGACCTTTAACCTCTGGGTTCTAATAGATGGAACCTCTAAAGGATAAAGGAACCACTGACCTTTAACCTCTGGGTTCTAATAGACGGAACCTCTAAAGGATAAAGGAACCACTGACCTTTAACCTCTGGGTTCTAATAGACGGAACCTCTAAAGGATAATGGAACCACTGACCTTTAACCTCTGGGTTCTAATAGATGGAACCTCTAAAGGATAAAGGAACCACTGACCTTTAACCTCTGGGTTCTAATAGATGGAACCTCTAAAGGATAAAGGAACCACTGACCTTTAACCTCTGGGTTCTAATAGAGGGAACCTCTAAAGGATAATGGAACCACTGACCTTTAACCTCCGGGTTCTAATAGATGGAACCTCTAAAGGATAAAGGAACCACTGACCTTTAACCTCTGGGTTCTAATAGATGGAACCTCTAAAGGATAAAGAAACCACTGACCTTTAACCTCTGGGTTCTAATAGACGGAACCTCTAAAGGATAAAGGAACCACTGACCTTTAACCTCTGGGTTCTAATAGACGGAACCTCTAAAGGATAAAGGAGCCACTGACCTTTAACCTCTGGGTTCTAATAGATGGAACCTCTAAAGGATAAATGAACCACTGACCTTTAACCTCTGGGTTCTAATAGACGGAACCTCTAAAGGATAAAGGAACCACTGACCTTTAACCTCTGGGTTCTAATAGACGGAACCTCTAAAGGATAAAGGAGCCACTGACCTTTAACCTCTGGGGAAAGTTTTCTTGTCTCTTTTCTGAAGAACGGCCATTTTTTAAACCTTTCCTATTATTTGCTGTGTCATAAATAGAGGGCGTTTCTCAATTCACGAGAACGCGAGTACGTACTCGCGTTCTCGTCAAGTCCGTTCTTGGCGAGAACGCAAGCACGTATGTGTATTGGAGCAGAAGCGTACTCGTGACGTCATCACAGGCAACGTTGTTTAGCATTTCTTTAACAGTCAAAACTATTTATTCCCTACACAAAACATTTTGAAAACAATATTTTTAATTTCTAAAGCTTAAAAAACATTAAAAAAAATTACCGAACCGCAAAAAACGCCATCAGAACGAGCGGTAGTTCACACATAACCAGACCGAGAGAAGTGCACTACAGACGGGGTAAATTTAGCCCTGGCTGCGGTTACCCTCGGAGGTCTGCTGGTCACTCTGGTCTGCTCAACGTCGGACTTTTTTTTTTTTTTTTCGCACTAACTCTGTAAACAGGCCACACAGGGAGGCTTCAATGTATAATGTTATCGCCTCAAACGATTTCAAAACGTACTTTTGAAGAACAACAGCAGCAGAAAAGGGAATGTTTAACTTAACACTGTGAGCGCTGTCTGGAATCAAGCTGCGGCCGCGGGGCATTCTGGGGAAGCGGTCAGTCTGAAGAACGCACAAGTCTGCTCTGATGCATGCTCGATAAAGAGGGCGGGGTGAGAACAACATCCGGGGATTTTTTGCGTTCTCGATCTGACGTTCTTGAGAATTGGAACGGTACTCGGGCTGAGGCTGATGACGTGCCACGAGTACACGAGCACATGAGAACGCTCAAGAACGCATATTGAGAAACGGCCAGAGACTCTGCATCACACTGATGACATCATACTCGCACTACCTTCTCCATTTCTTTTTTTTGCACTGCTCTGAACCTTCCACCACAATGCCTTTTTGTACCATGTTTCTCCTATACTGTGCTGCAGTGTATGAATGGAAAAGTTGTTTTTACTGCTAAGCTGCTCAGTCACTGTCAGAAGGCTGTATAGGTGACATTTCATTTTGTATAAATCTCTGTTTATACAAAAGGACAGCAACAGTTAGTCTAAATCTGTTCCTGCTGGTGTTCCAACCTCTGCGTGTTCCATTCTGGTCTCCTCTTGGTCTTGCGGTTCCTCTCCATCCTGGCGAACGGCTCATAAAGGTCTCCTCCTGCAGGCAGGCAGAGGTTCTCCTTACCTCCTCTCACCCCATGGCTCCAGCTGTTAGGAGGCTCAGCAGAACCAGAGGGAGGAGGGAGGTTCTGCCTGGAGACCACGGAGGTCAGACCTTGGTCAGATAAGGGAGGGAGAGGAGGAGCGTCTTCTGACCAGGGAGGGAAGCAGAAGCGGAACAGTGAGAACAGGCGTCCATGTTGACCAGGAGGTCAGAAGGAGCAGTGGCTGTAGTCTCTTAGCGGTTACCTGTCTGAACGTAAGTGTCTTTATACGCAGACAACGATCTGCTGCCGCTCTCCAATCGTTCAGACTCCCTGGCAGCTGCTGAACACACAGAACATTAAAAAAATAAATGCAGAGTATCAGGTTTGGCCCTGACCTGATCTCCACAGACCAGGACCTCTTGACCTCTGCGGTCTCCCATAAACTCAGCTCCATCCACAACCACTGCAGAGTTTTTCTAATGGTACGAGATTGGAACCAGTCTGTTCTGGGATACTGGGTTGGATGCATCGCTGTTCTGTCAGACCAGCATACCTATAGTCACGCATGCATAAGACGTCAGATTTGAGTTTCTTCCTTTATTTAAAAAAATTTAAGTTCAGATCGCCATATGTTTTAAAAAAAACACCATAAAGTAAGTTATTGTTTTTGGTATACAACTAAAAGTATAAAGGGGTATTGACTATGGGTATGCTGGTCTGACGCTCTGACAGATAACCATACATATAGTCAATACTTATGCGCTAGATGTCAGATTTGTGTTTATACCTTTAGTTTTATACGAAAAATAGACTTTAAAGTCATAGGAAAATCATATTTAAATGTCAAATCATTCTGGCTTAAACATGTATATAAATATGTAATATTTTTAAAACATATTATCCCAAAAGTTAGAAAAAACCCGCCCTCTCCGCTTTAAAAAAAAATGCACATGCACCATGTACCCGCTCCTGAGAGGGAACAGCGATTAAACGAATGCAAGAGCGTGCACGAGCCTATTTCTCCTCGTGCACGCTCTGTTTACAGTCATAGGGAAATAATTTTTAAATGTAAAATCATTAAGAAAATTTCTATAAAAAAAAAAAAATCCTGTCTTAAAATCTGGGTTTTTTTCCGTTATCTTCTGCAGGCCAGTTAGTTCTACGTCAGCCTGAACACCTAAATTCATCCAATCATATATCAACGGTCATCTGTCAATCAAATGTTTTCAGTCATAGCATCTTGATTCATGTCGCAGCTAATATACGCAACGGTTGAAATGAGAATCCTTTCCTTTCCCATTGAGTTGCGTCCCAGTGTTCACGGGGATGGACGTCTGTGTCTTCTGCAGGCGTAGAGCTAACAGAACTGGCAGCGTTGCGAGGCAAGGGCTCAATCATGTACGGCTGGAAGCCTTCTACACCAAACCAAGCTTCTGCCGCCCTGGCGTCCTCTTCCACAACATCTTCGTCCCCGCTTTCCTCCTCTAAATAAAACATGGATGACGTAGGAGACTCATCCACGACCTCCGACACTAAACTCTCCTCCTCTTGCATGTTTCCTCTGTCCATAGCGTTCCTTGACAGCGTCGTTTCTAAGTCACCAATTTAGTGCTACTTGGTCCCAATGGAATTTCCCATTGGGAACCTACTAGCACTAAGATGCTAATGGTTAGCAAGATGCTTCCCACAAACCGGCCACAACCAAACATGCTTGCAAACCTTCCACCACAACAATCCCGCCCCCTTGATAATCAACCAATCACATTCACTTAATTCTGTCGTGTAAAGTCGGGCACCACTCGGGAGAATTCAGAAATGCAACGGTTAGAACGGCTGCTTCCCTGCGACTTTAAGGGCAGATCGCCATAGGCTTAAAAAAAAATACCAAAAAGTAAGTAATTAAACTGTCTTTGTCGTACATGACTAAAGGGATACACTCCCATTGGATAGTTTAAAGTCTATTTTTTGTGCAAAACTCAAGAGATAAACAAAAGGGAAAAAGAGGTATTGACTATGGGTATGCTGGTCTGACAGAACAGCAGCAATGGGCGCCGTTTCTCTCTCACCTGTGGATTCAGATCCCGTCTCCTCCGGTCTGCCGCCAGCGAGGTTCTCCTCTGGCTCCTTGCTGTGAGGGATGCCGTCAGTCTGAGGGAGACAGTCAGACCTGTGAGGCTGAACAAACGGCTGAGGAAGAGGATGCTGGTGCTCTTCTGTCAGCGGCGGTTTGTCCTGATGAAGGACACATGGGCAGATGCCCAGGGCGGAGGCAGAAGGGGGAGTACAGTCTGTGAGCTTTTTACTGCTTTTAATCACAAACCTTCAGGGGGGGGGCGGCGGGGGACTCTCACCTTCTCCTTCTTCTTCAGCATCTCCAGCTCATACTGCTTCTGCAGCTTCTCCCTCTCCAGGGTAACCCTCTTCTCCTCCTCCTCTTCCTGCCGTCTCCTTCTGGCCTCCTCCTGCTCCCGCTGCTTTTTGCGTTCCTCCATCTGGGCCTCGATGGCCCTCTAGGAGGGAGCAGATCACGTTAAAAGTTCAGAGCAGCCAGCATGCTCCTCTGCCATCTGCATCTCCTCCTACCTGCTGCTCCAGCTGTTTCAGCCTCCTCCTCTCCCTCTCCTCTATCTGTGCAGGATCCAGGAGAGACGTCATGGTCCTCAGGTAGCTGCAAGGAAAACAAGACGCTCACAGAATCAGCAGCTTAGTGGGATTTCAATCCTCTGACCGTTTGGAAGCTGTCCCAGTTGGTGGTACTGGTCATAAACCAACATCCCTTTCCTTTTTCCACTTAGAAAACAGGAGGGTTCATTTCATTTTTAAATTTTTAAAACATTTTGTTCCCAAAGTAGAAAACAGTTTCCGTTCCATCATCATCATCCTCTTCATCGTCCAGAGCGCTAAAGTTGGCTTCTGGTTTGGCTTTAATTATTGTACTTCCAGTCTGACTGACTTAGATCTACTTTATTCTAAAACTTGTTCAAATTTATGCTGAAACACTGAATCATTCCCTTAAAAAGAGTTTTTGTTTTTTAATGATTTAATTTTTCAGACAATATTCCGAGGAGAAAAGTTTGGAACTCAAAAATATGCTTTTAATTTCTATTAAAGCCGACAAATAACTAAAGAAGGATAAGAACTCTAGAAATAAAATCCTGTTCAACGATGACGTTTGATTCTTTATTTCCTCCAAAAGAATCCGAACGTTGTTTTTATCCTTCAGTGACTTAAAGACATGGACTTTAGTATTTACAGTTTTAGGGTTCGGAAATTTTTCCAGACGGATTTCCAGGAACTTTCCAAAGCAGACGATATTTAAAGGAAAAGTCCGCTTATATTCAGAATTCAAACTTCTGAAAGTTCTTTAAATCTGAAATTCTTCCATCATGTTCAATAAATGATCAGTGTTTTTAATTCAGAGTAATTTCCATGTGAATGTGCTTCACTCGAGGCATCCATGTTTGTCAAAGAACACTACTGCCACCTACTGGTTAGTGACGTCACGGTGCGGTATCGGCTGTTGATCAAGTCCCAGTGCTGTATCTGGTGTTTGTCACAACGCGCTATTATCCAAGTCATCTTGAAAACATTCTTCTTCCAAATGTTGGCTACATATTACGGGTTTTTTCTCTGGCCAGAAGTTCGATGGCAAATCCTCCCTCTTCAAGTTGGCGATCCAACGACCAACCCGTCCGTGGAGGATCAGGAATCAGAAAGGTGGAATAACTCTTTTTATCCACTTTTACCCGATGTATTCCAGCATCCAGCTGCCATGCACGTGGGCATTGTCAGTTTCACTATAGCTCTGGTGAATTTCAATGGTGAAGTCCTCTGGAAATCTTCAATAATTGTTGTTGATTGCAGATGTCTAGTAGTTCCCATTGATTTAGCTTGTAAAGCGGGGAGAATGGCGCTAGGCTTACCGCACCGTGACGTCACTGCTGGAAGATGGCAGGAGGGAGGGACTACTATATTTGGTCAAAAATGGCCGCTCCCAGGCTCATTATTTTTATTTTCTTATTGATTAACGCTAAATTCATTAAATCACAGCGAACGTATTAGTTTCAGGTATAAATAATGATCCATTGATCATTCTTTGCTGACTGGACTTTCCTTTAAAACATCTTCAGAAATGTTAAAAGTTGAGTCGCTCTGACCGCTGGAGGATGAAAACCAAACATCTTCTCAGGTCTAGTGTGAATAATCTTATGGAAGCATATTTGTGAGATAAAATATTATGAGTGTGCCTTTTCTCTGCCTATATAAGGGTGATTGTTTAGAATTCTTGTACCAGTCTGGAGTTAAAATTGGTGATGACAAATAAAAAAAAAAGAAATTGGGGATGACATAAGCAGTTGCCTCCCTACTCTAGACAAAGGTGAAGGGAGGGTCATGAGATAATGAGCGACTTCGGACAGCCTCCTTCATGGGTCGACCTGTTCTGAGTGTCTATCTGGCTAAAAGCTCCATCTTAAATAAATTTGAACCTTATTTCTTCCAAGAAATGCCTCCGCCTCAGCTTCCTAACTTCACCATCTGCTGAAGATCATTTCGTTCCTGCTGTGCCGGAATGTTCCAGTCAAAGACATCCATGGCGTTCCCTCTCATTTATTGGAAAGGGAAGGATCTATGTTTGTGGTTTTCTACGGATTGATTTGTACGTTTTCGGTTCTGGTCGGATATTCTGTGCTACCTGGACCTGGTAGGACATCCTCTGGTGGAATCCACGCTGGCTCCGATGACGCTCTCCGCTCCGCAGCTGCTGGTGGCCTCCCAGACCAGAGACAGACTGGAGGAGGGATCCCAGTCTTCCCGCTCGGAGCCGCTGAGCCGAACGGCCGGCGGCGCCGATGGAGCCGCAGGCTGGATCAGAGCCCTGCGTTGGAGCGAGTCAAAGTGTGCAGTCCAGCGCTCGTGGTCCTCTGTCTGCAGAAAAAAAAGACATGTCACCCTGAGCGGTCAGAACCGGATCAGAACCGGGTCCGTCTGTGTCTCCAGAACCTGTCTCCTCAGCAGCTTCTCTCGTTTCCTGCGTTCAGCCGCCTCTTCCCTCTGACGGTCCAGCTCCTCCAGCCACCGTCTCCTCTGCTCCTCTTTCCGTGCGGCGCTCAGCTCCTCCTCCATGGGAGTGACCTCCTATGGACCAAGCAGGGAAACGGGTCAAACCTTGGCTGTTTGATGGTCCTGCAGAGACAGTCCGGGTTCTGGTTTACCCCGAGCCGTAGGCTGGACCTGATGGCTGCAGGCTGCTCTCTGTGGCTGATGGACGACGACGCCGTCTCTGCGCGCTCTTTGCCCTGAAACACATGGAAGCATCGGATCATCTGCCGGCTGGAGGGTGGGAAGAACTTCAGCGGTTCTTTTGGTTTCTGGATCAGACTCCTCTGGTCTACATGTATAAAACTGAACCACGGCTGAAGAAAGATCCGATACCTTTTTCTGAGTCGCAGCTTTTTCAGCAAATTTAAAGGAAATCAGTAAAACTGACCAGTCTGTTTTCAGCTAAGGTCAAAACTATTCATACCTCTAAAATAGTCGCGTCCAAAGTCATCTAACACGGTACTTTTAACCTAAAGTAACCTGAAGGTTTAAGAGGCTCGGCCAAAGCCCAACTTTAACCTAATGGAGGATCTGTGGATTAGGGTGATGGCACAGAGGCCATCCAACCACCAAGGAGGAATCAATAAAACAGCAGAAGAAGAAGAACGCAACAAGCCACAGACAGGAACCAGAAAAGCTCTTACTGCCAGTTTTCATTACTGAGGAGAGAAGAAGCCATTTTTAAATCAAATGGCAGTAAAAAAGATGTTTTCTCTTGATGGAACTTTTCTGTCTCTTATTATCTAATTAAAATGAAAATCTGGATATTTTTAAGCTTAAGGGGGAATCTCTGCATGACTGATAAAAAGACTCCTCTGAACCAAAGCTTTGCCCCAAATTTATTAAAAAACAACTGGAGACAATTATAACGAGACGCAGACCATCTTGATAAAACTATTTACTTTCCTTCTATATGTGTACTGGAAATTGGGCTGTTAGATGTTGGATCTTGGCCTGTTTTCCAGTGAAGTCCTGTTTCTCTAACTGTGACTAACTGGATGTGCTCTCATCTTCCTCTGACATGGGAGCTGGCTCCGAGCTCGTCTGCCTGGCTGTGTGTTTCCTGGACGGGGCCGCCTGTGGAGCTGGTTGACAGTTGCCTTTTGTATCTATGCTTCTTTTTCTATGTCTGCTTCTGTCTCCTTGAACCCCAGTGGGCCTCAGCAGATGGCCGCTCACACTGAGCCTGGTTCTGCTGGAGGTTTCTTCCTGTTCAAAGGGAGTTTTTCCTCTCCACTGTCGCTACAAGCATGCTTATAGAAAACTTTGAATCAATCTGACTGGATGATCTGGTGAACTGGAAAGTGACCTGAGATGACAAGATGTGAATTGGAGCTATAGAAATAAATTAAATAGAATTAAATATCTCAGAAATTTTAAACCTTGACATATTGCCCAGCCTGACTGCTGCCTAACTTCCTGCTGGATCCCACTTGTACCCAACGAGCAGCGAGTGTTCAGGAGGAAGCAGCGATGGTGTTGAAATGAGAGTGAAATACCTGCAGTCTGCTGAGGGCTGAACGCTGCTGCTGCTTCAGGGAAACCTGCTCATCTGAAACAAACACAACATTTCAATTCAGACGTATTCAGCACCATGCTGTCCCCAACCAGCCATCATCACTGCTTAACATCCATCCATCCATCCATCCTTCATCCATACTACCAGTTTCTGGTTTCCATGGAGCTTTCTTCTTTGAGTTAACGGTGGTTCTGTTGTCTGAGTGAAGCCTTTCAAACTCAGGTGACCTAAAAACAAAGAGCCATCAGAAAATTCAGCACCAAGAGTCCAGATCTGTGAGCATGTTTGAGTTCATGGTCTACATGTTGATGGCCCACGTCTGAGGGGAGAGCCTCCCTGAGGAGCTGAAGACACATCAAGATGTTCAGGATTCATCTGATCTCTTGATTTTCTCCTCTAATACGTATTAAATGTATGCAGCCTTTCCTGTCTAGTCTGCAGTTTTTCATCTTTTCATTGCTGAGACCACATCTGTCTAATAGTTTATTTGATTAATATTATCAACAGAATCTTTCTTATTTTTTTAACATGTCATTTATTTTACAGGCCATCTGGGAGGTTTTCCTATTGAACATAGGATACGATGATACGGTGACCAGACATCGCAGATCTCTGGGGCCAGTCCACGTTTTGGACCCACTGAGGAACAGAGGGCAGGTCTTCGGCTCTACACAACCACTATTAAAGCATTTTTCCTTTGGATAAACTTTACATGCACAAAACTACAGGTGCTTGGTTCCAGGTACTCAGATTCACTTCCACACAGAAAGCCCATATTCTGATCTTCAGGTAACACAGAGTACATGTCAGATTAAATAATACTACTTATACTTCAGCGAAAGTATCAAGGTGTTACTTTATTGCATCTCTTATAGTATATCCGTTGGTTGTGCTGTCCTTTTTCCATCTCTTTGCAGGTGATGAAGCAGACAGAAGATGTTTTATCATCATCTCCCTTTTATCTCCTCTTTCTTTTCTCCTTGTTTCTGTTTTTCCTCTTCTATTCTACTTACATTGCAGTGTCCATATAATCTGTAAAACTCCCTGCGTAGTTATAATAAAGCTCTTTATATGCATAAATCAAGTGGAACCCTATGGCGATAGCCGTACTGCTCCACTTGTGTTTACAGAATGACTAAAGAAAATCTGTCTTGTCTTGGTTTATACAGGAATGATTAACTTTAATTTAATGCTCTTTGAAATAATTTTAACACCATCAACAAATACCCATGACTCTCATATATACGGCAAATTCCTTCATCTTTTCCGTCGGCAGGCTGCAGTTCCTCAATTTCCAGCCACTTTTGTTGAAATTAGCATTTTCCCCATTCTTTAGCCTTTTCTCCGCAGCGAGCTTCTTTTCCGAACATACAGCTTTACGATCAACTGGAAGCAGTTCCGTGCAAATATATTGCGATATATTTGCAAATATATATATATTGTTTAATAAATTGTTTTTATAAACTTTTTTTTTTAATAAAGCATTTTAAATGCCAAAACCATCACATTTAATGAATTTTAATGCCAAATCAGGCCTTGATTTCAAAAATAATTATTTAATGACTTTTAGTGATTTTTAATGACCTGCGGAAACCCTGTAGAGTGCAGAAGTGATCAAATGTACACATTGTTGGAGGAAAAAAAACATGGTGCAAAGAAAGAACATGGTGCAGGTGCAAAGAAAAAACATGGTGCAAAGAAAGAACATGGTGCAGGTGCAAAGAAAAAACATGGTGCACACCAGTGGCGGCTGATGGAGTTTTCTCAACGGGGGGCTGTAAATTCAGGTACTTAGAGATTCACTTCCAAACAGAAACCCCACATTCATATCTTCAGGTAACACAGAGTACATGTCAGACTTAATAATATTACTTTAGCGATAGTTTCAAGGTGTTGCTTTATTGTATATCTCGTACCATGTCTTTCGGTTGTGCTGTTCTTTTTTCATCTCGTTACAGGTGATGAAGCAGACTGAAAATGTTTTGTCATCGTCTCCTTTCTATCTCTTCTTTCTTTTCTTCTCTTTTTTCCTTTTCTTCTTCTGTTTTTCTGCTCTACTTACATTGCAGTGTCCATATGAACTGTAAAACTCCCTGCATAAATATAATAAAGCAATTTATATGCATGAAACAAGTGGAGCAATATGGCAATTGCCATACTGCTCCACTTGTGAAAGTAAAATCTGTTGGGCTCCTTTTGGCATCAAGACAATTATTCTTATTGCCACATTGCCAGACAGGACACTGGAAAAAAAAAAACAAGTTTATCACACCAGTATTTAAAAAAACTGCCAACCAAACATAATTTAATGTGCTTTCTAAAGGTAAATCTGTGTTTTGGTCCAATATGGCGTCACAAACCTAAAAAAATTATGTATCAGTTTAATAATGGAGAAGCTATTAGTCTGCTTTATGTTTTCTAAATATATAAAAACTATTCATTTTCTGAGAATGTGTTTATTTAAGAGCCACAATGCAAATGAACAAAGATCTAGAAAAAGTTCACTATATTCTATTATTTTCCATGTGAATCCCAGATTATTCATTCTTCTTTACCTTTTCTAAGAAGTGCTTTAAATCAGTCCTAGCTGTCTTTATCCACGCTGGCTCAGATCGTGATGACTGAAAGGGAAGGATTTAGCTTTTCCTCGGTTCGCTGCGTGTCGGGTCCGAGCTCCTATACGTGGATTTTTACCACCATCGTCCTTCTCGCTAAAGGCTAACTCAGTAATAATAATCTCCACCTCACTGCCTGACTGACTACTGGCTCCATCACCTATATCACTGTAGCAGAGGCCTTCATGCTAGGAGCTCCAAGCCATTCATTTAGAAGATGCTGATGGCCAAATATTTATAAATTTTCCATAGCAACATTATGTAATTGGTTATTTCACTTCAGGGGCGCTTTGAATGAGCGCCTAAGAAGAGAAGAGTTCTGTTGAATGAGAGTCAGTTGGTAGAAGTGTTGTTTTAATAATTCATATTACATGTAGCCACATAATATTAAGTAAAACTGACATTGATAATACTTTTAAACTCTATATATTATGACTTTTCCCCTCCACATCTAGGGAGGGCAGCGCCAGAGCGCCCCCTCTGGGCCACTCGCCACTGGTGCACACCATTAGTGAGTGTTGGAGTTGCATCAAGCAGCCAGAGTGACGTTTACCTGCCACATCTGTCCTCCTCTTTCTTCACATCTTCCTCTTTCTCCTTCAGTTCTCCTTCCATCGCAGCAGACGAGCAGTTTGTGTCAGTTTCACAGTTTGTAACATGTTGAGGTTTGCATTCAGTGGACTTCAGGTTACTGTGGCTAACAGCACCTGGTGCCTCCTGCTCCTCTGGACCCCGCCGGGCGTAGCTGGATCTCTGGATGGCGAAGAGGATCTGCTGCAGCTGTTCGTCGGTTAGACGCCCCAGGCCGTCGCTCAGGCCTGAATCCATGACAGTCAGAAGGCGCTCCAGTCCTGCTCCTCTGTCCTCAGTGCTGGGAGGAGGTCCTGTTCTGCTGGAGGAACCCATGGGTCCCACCGCCTTGCTGAGTTTGTGCTTGTTTGACTTCACCTTGAGAAGAAAACAAATGCAGGGTTATACAGCAAACTCTGACAGCTGGGTTTGAATGTTTAGGCTCCAGTGGCGCTCTGATTCATAGATTAATCTCCATTTTTACATTATTTTCTAGCCAATCGCTCAAACCCGTGGCCCACACACATTAATATACATATTCATATAAACACACATGCATGTTTAGTGTCTGTTCCCTTACCTTGGCCTTATTGCCACGCTCCTTGTCATTCCCCAAAGCCTTGGATGAGGGCGGGATGCCGTTCCTCCCATCAGTGGAGCTGCAGGATGGAGCTGCTGCTCCTGCTTTTAACCTGGGCTCCCGGTGGCTCCGTGGCGCTTGCTGCTGCTGCAGCGGTGCCTCCTCCATGCAAGATGGCTGCCTGGCGCCGAGGACGGTAGCTGTTCGCCGCTTACTGGGCAGCTGGTTGGAAATGCATCACAAACCATTCAGTTAAACAAAAAGCTTTAGTAAAAACACCAGATTTGTCCCTCTAATCTTAAATGAACATAAAATCCAGCATGTAAATGCTGAATTACTTTCGTTCTTCAGCTCTAACAGAATTGTTCTTTTATTGTTGAATTGTTTTTTAGGTAACCGGATTTTTGCTGAGCTCATAAGTAAGGCCGCCTTCCAGTTTAAGCCTGTTTAGTAGTTGCAGGGCCGCAATTTGGAAATGTGGGGCCCTAGGTAAAGACAGGCAGGGGCCCCTCTGAATGGAGAAGACAACACATAGAACAGACCCATTCTCCAGATAGAGAAATGTTAATAGAATAGACATCCGTGATCTGTTCTAGGTTGTGTCCCTCTCTTCTTGTCCCTTTTCTTCTTGTTTTCCTCTCTATGTTTTGTACTCAGCTGACTTTTCATGCTGTCTCTAAAGGAATGAAAGATTTCTTCCAAGCACTAAGCTCACTTAGCTGATTGCTCCTTCCTGTGTTTCCAAAAAGGCCAAAGTAAATAACCCAGTCCTTCTTTTCACTGTAGACAAGCCATGATCTGCTTCTCTGTTCTCCATTTTTCATTTGGATGAAATAATAGCTGCATGAATCATGACAGCAGACAAGATAGAGGAGAGCAGGAGGCGGGGTTACCAATCTACTTGCTCTGGAGAGCAGAGTTCGCTGCTTTTAGATGTTGTCCCCAGCGTAGAGACTGACAAGGGAGTTGATTTTCACTCCTGTCCCGTCCCACTTCCACAGAAAAAAAAATAAATAGTGCCCCGTCCCGATCCCGGGCCAGAGTAGAAATCTAAAGAATTGTGTATTTTTTATTTTTTTTGACTCTCATTATAGTGTAGGCTTCAAGGAAAAAAACTACAAAATGGCGGCGCCAGTACTGGATTTTCTTTCTATTTTATTTTATTTTTTGGCATCGATCCTAGTTTTTTTTTCCAGTTATTATTGGTTTGCTCCCGCTCCCGTCTGCTCCCGTTAATGTTTAATCCTGTACCGTCCCAATCACGTGATCGTTACCAATACTGACTCCCATCCCACGGGAATCGCGTGACCCGTGGGATTCCCGAAAAAATGTCAGTCTCTACTCCAAAGGCTCCAGTAGCAGAAAAAAGTCTCTAGATTTGGCGCTAGGAGCTTTTTAGAAATCAAAGTGCTAGAGGGGTCTGAAAAGTGGCTAAATATAGCGACTAAAGCGCTAAGTTGGCAACACTGCTCTTTGCATGGTTTGTTTTCAAATGGTTTGCTGCTGTCTGTTTGGACCTTTCTGAACATGTGCAGCAAATGGACTGATCCAATATGGTGGACACTGAAGGGGGGGCTGAGACACAGAGCTTCTCTGTCACTCAGAATCATTGCTTTTGCAAGAAGATTCTGTAGGAACAGAGCAAAGAATGACACCAGGCTATTTAGCTTCTATGTGGTCATCTGGGGTCACAGGACTGATAGCTCATCACTCAGGCAAAGCGTTTGGCTCCATGATACCGTCACAGTGGCATTTACTAAAACTGTTCATGGAAAACATTTGAAGCTTTTTTTCTGGGCACTTTGCAAAAAAAAATGTTCAGTATAGATTAAATAGATCGGCACAAGGATATGATGGTGAAGGCAGCAGGTTTGAAGGGATTCCTACCTTAACTGGATTCATCCCAGTGCCTGCAGGGAAAGGAAGGCCAAGCAGTGAGTAAAAATACACAAAACACCAAAACTTTTAGATCTACCGTTAATTTAGGTTAAAACTGTCATCCCTGATTATTATCTGAACATTTATTTTTATTTAAATATTAAAAAAACAACTTGTTACACAAAACTACAAAAGCAGAAACATTCAAAATGCCTGATTAAATATGTCTGCTACAAAGTTTAATGAGCAAAACAAAAAGTTTTTAGATGAAACAAAGAAGCAGATGATTTATTGTAGAATGAAGGCAGAAAGGCCTCACCATGAGACAGCAAGATCAGCCTGGGTTTCCCATTCTCCAGCTCAAACAGCAGCCCGTCTCTGTCCAGGAAAGAGAAGAATCATCAGAGTGCCAAACACAGAAACATCAGAACACTTTGGTCCTTGGAAGGTTAATAACTTTCCAAAAAAGTTAAAATCAATCCACTGGGGTTAGTTTCCAAGTTTGAAGACGTTTCTCTTCCATCCAGGAAGCTTTTTCAATTCAAAATGTCAGAAATAGCGTTGAGTTCCAGGTTTTATCCAGCAGCCCAACAAAGCCTGGTTTTAGTTTAGAAAACATGCAAATAGAAACGGATGAACGGGCCCCCCCCCCTTGGAATGGGGGTCGTTTGGCTTCTTTGTTAGCCTGCAATGCCCCATACCTGTCTATGTCTCTGAAAGGGGGGTCGTTAGAGGGAATTGTTGGCCTGGCTGAACAAGTGAGGTCTTCTGTTCTCCAACAACCTACAATGCAGCAACAGAGTTGATTCCTTCCTGCTATCATCTCAACACCTTTACAGGAGAACAGAGGAAAGAACAGGTGGTTCTGTTTACCTGTTCTCCCATAAAGTCCAATAAAAAAAAAAAATCACCAAAGGATCACTGAACCCCAGACTGGACCAGTCTTTGATTCTCACTACTTTAATAACTAAAAAATGTGCAAAACGTTTCCAGAGGGAATTACTGAGGACCTGGGAAGCATCAGCAGAGGGATTTTTGCAACATTAGCTGCTCCAAGATCTCTAAAACGCGACCCACTGATTGTATGTTTCTGGATTCTTAACTAATTTAAACAATATCAGGAAAATGTGTGTTTTTGTTTATCCCTTTGCTGAAAACAATTTTTAATTATTTTCGCTATAAAAAGGAGGATTAGAAGACAGTAGACTGGTAAAAACAATCCGCAGCAGCCCCCCTCGGGTCATAATATATGGTGCAACACCTGCTACACCGATACGATTAACCCTTTTTGTTTTTTTCAAATAAAACCAATGTTTTCATCGAGAAGAAAAGAGTGTGCTTACACTGATTAATATAAATAAACATTGACAAAGTGTAATTCCCAGCCACAGTCCGGGTTTAAGCTTAGCTAGCGGCTGAACAGCAGACTTACCCGAGGTTCATGTCGAGGCCTACGAACCGGTAAAGCAGTGGAGTTACGGACAAGTTTAGAAAAATATAAAATAATCAACCGGTGGGTGAGATTTCATAGCTAAATCCACGCTAAATGGTCGCTTTCAGGTAACAAACCACTGTAGAAAGCGGTTGTCAACGTTCGTTGCTACGCACGGTAACAAACGTGTTACTGATTGGCTAATCCACGCTGAGTTTAAAATGACTGACCAATCACATGTCTGTATTTTGGGAAGTTTAAATTCGATGACGGTGCGTTTGGGGCCACTCGGATTTTATGATATAGTAAAGCTAACGGGGTTGTAAAATTATAGAAATATAATCTACCGGTTTATTTCATATATGCTGTATCTTTTTCTCTACATGGTGCTTAAAATTCAAACGAAATACAGAATAATACGCATGAAAGAATAAAGCATATTAGATTGAGTCATGGTCATAAAATCTGAAATCATCCTTTTTAAATTTAAGGTCGCGTTTATGATTTTAAACCCCCCTGTAACAAATATGGCGTTTGGGTAATTTTGATTTGTTTTGAGTCAAAACAATAATCTCCTCGTTTTTAGGACATAGGTTTTTAATGCCCTAAAGGTGCGTTTTCTTTACTGCGTTGTGTTTTGAGCACAGACATTATTTACGTAGACGCGTCATTAGATGCTGGACGACGTGCCTAGGGAGCAGCCATCTTGGATCGGACCACAGTTCAGACATCTGCTGTCAGAATGAATGAGGCGCCTTAGATCTCAGGAAAGAGGAGTCAGAGACAATATTACAATAATTTATTACATGTTACAACCACTTAAAAGACCAAAACAAGTTCTAGAAATGCTATATAGTATATAAGTATATATGAACTGATTATTATATTAATTATATTAAAGGACAAATGTTCACATATGCATAATTAATGATAAAAAACATAATTTGAAAAAGGGTTTTAGAAACAGTTTAGACAACCTTATAAGGACAAAAGCCTTTAGTTAGACACAATATAAATTTACCATTCACTACGATTTTACAACAAATTCTTGACAATTACATAATGTAAAATAAAATGAACTAAAAATGTATTCATAAAAACAAAATAAAAACTCTCTTTTGTGAATCAGATTACAACAAATTTCCTCCTCCCTGGATCATAATACTCATTATCAAAGAGCAATTCTTAAAAATACTGAGTAGTAATAATATACTGTATTAATGAATAATATTTGTAAAACATAATCTTATAATGTAATAATAAAAAAATGTTGTATGAATAAATATGTTTAATCCAACTGAAAGTTAATTTTTAAATTTTCTTTGGTCTTTTAAAGGGTTGTGACATGTAAGAGATTATTGTAATATTATTTCTGACTTTCATGTGATTAAAATGAGATCTAAGACGCCTCCTGTTGATTCTGACAGCAGCTGCCTGAACTGTGGTCTGATCCAAGATGGCCGCCCTCCAGGACCGTCGTCCGGCGTTCCTTCCCCTACAGACTGTAGGTGGCGCCAGAGCGCCGGAATCATATTAATGAACTGTAAAATCTAAACAATCTTGTTGAAGCCAGACTGTAAAATGTCGGGATGTGGTTTGATGAAAGAATGACATGGGGTGTACACATTAAGAATATAATCGATAAATGTAGGAAGGTAATAAATATAATGAGGTGTTTAGTTGGAACAGAGTGGGGAGCTGATAGAAAATCATTAAAAGCTATTTATACTGGGTTAATCAGGTCCGTCCTTGACTATGGATGTATAGTTTATAACTCAGCAGCAGATACAAACCTCCATAAGTTAAATAGCCTTCAACATCAGGCTTTAAGAATATGTACAGGCGCTTTTAGAACTTCTTCAACAGCAGCATTACAGGTTGAAATGGGAGAAATGCCACTTAAAATTAGAAGAGATCAATTATCTTTAAACTACTGGTCAAATTTACAGGGACAAAGGAAGGATCATCCAACATTAGAGGTGCTTAAACCTGGATGGGAAAAGGAAAAGAAACAATTAAAGAGCTTTGGATGGGTAATAAACACTAAAGTTAATGAAATTAATTTAAATCAGTTAGCTATATGTCAGACAGTTCCAATAACAGCAATTCCACCTTGGATACTTCCTGATGCTAAAGTTGATCTCTCATTATTAGAAAAGAAGGAAAAAGATAAATATCATATTATGAATAAATTTATAGTACAAGAACACTTAAATAACTATTATAATTATATACAAATATATACAGATGCATCAAAAAATACAGCTAATAGGGTAGGGATAGCATTCATTATACCACAGTTTCATATTAATGTTGGAAAAAGGATTAGTGATGGAGTTTCAGTATATACCGGTGAAATGCTAGCTTTGCTTTTAGCAGTTCAATGGGTGGAAGAGGTAAGACCATTAAAATCTATCATTTGCTCAGATTCCAGTTCGTCATTAATCAGTTTGCAAAATAATCAGTCAGTCAGTAGACCAGATATATTACTTGAAATACAACAAACACTTTACAGAATAAATATGATGGGGCTAGTGGTACATTTTGTGTGGGTTCCGGCACATAACGAGATAAAAGGAAATGAAAGGGCAGACAGGATGGCTAAGGAGAGTACCAATAAGTTAAGGGTAGACATTAATGTTAGTTTTGGTATAACAGAAATAAAGGGTATAATTAAACAAAAAGCAAAAGAGAGGTGGCAAAAGTTATGGAATGAAGAAAAGAAAGGAAGGTGGCTTTATAAAATACAAAAGAGAATTGGACCAATGAGAAGATCAGAAAGGAACAGGAGAGAAGAGATTATTATTTCTCGACTTAGAATAGGACACACTGGATTGAACAGATCGTTATTTTTGATAGGGAAACATCAGACAGGGAAATGTGACTGTGGGGAAGATGAGACTGTGGAACATGTCATTTTAAATTGTAGTAAATATTCGATACAGAGAAAAAGGTTAATAAGGAAACTTAGTGACATGAAAATGAAACTTGACATTGTAGATTTATTGCAGAAAGAATCAGGAAGCAGAGGATATCGGGTTATATTTGAATTTTTGAAACAGATTAGGTTGTATAATAGGATATAGTTTTTTTTTTTTCTCTGCCATGTAGTCCACACTCCATACCAGTTGGTGGCGGTAATGCTCACCTAACGTTTTTTGCCAACCGCCAATAAAACTCAATAAGAAGAAGAAGAAGACTGTAAAATGCTCAGTGATGAGTTTGATCAACGAGGATGAAGATCCATGAGCTCCTCCGCTCTGCGCCGCCTCTCCTCCGTCACTTCCACGGGAAGGTCCGCGTGCGTTCCGTGATCCTAAAGGTGTGTTGTTATTGTGACAGCTTGGTGCAATCTAACCGGGGAGGCTGCGTAACGTCAAGCCGTTATGTTAGCCAGCCCCCGCTAGCAGCAATGCTACCTACCGCAGAGTAGAGTCCGTTTAACGGCACTGTTTCCCGGGCAGCTCCGAGGCTCACAGCGGCCTGGAACACGAAGCGCGAGGCCATAAAAAAGAGGTGATGTTTCATTTTGAATTTTAGACCTTTTACAGACTAAAATAACTCGACTTATTTCCGCTGCTGGTTGTCAGGCTAAGGTCAAGAAGCTGGCCAATGCTAACTGCTAGCTTCCTGTATAAACATGGAAGATGACAGGAAGTCCTCCTGTCGCTGCCATCTGATGTTATTTACAAACTGTGGTTATTTGTGTAAAGAAGCTAGCTCTGTAGAAATGGTTTTTACTAAAGACCAGAGGCATTAGTAAAAGGTTTTAGCTCCTGGGGACTCAGCCCAGCTCAGAGGTATTTATTTATTTGACAGTTTTATAGATCCAGTGATCTATAAAACTGATAGATTAAATTAATTAATCTATCAGTGTTTACTTGGATGTTGTTGGTTTTGGTGCCATAATTAGTGTAAAGTCTACATTTGCCACTTTATCAATGGATTTTATATAACTAGATATGTAAACACAATCATAACATAGATAAAGTCGTAGTGAAATCACATCCAAATGTCAAATTATTTTGACTTAAACATGTATATTAATGTACTTTTTATCATCCCAGCATTTAGAAAATTTCTATTTTAAAAATATCAGTGTTTTTTTTTTCATTATCTTCTGCAGGCCAGTTAGTTCTACGTCAGCCTGAACACCTAAATTCAGCCAATCATATATCAACGATCATCTGTCAATCAAATGTTTTCGGTCATAGCATCTTGATTCATGTAGCAGCTAATATACGCAGCGGTTGAAATAAGAATCCTTTCCTTTCCCATTGAGTTCCGTCCCAGTGTTCACGGGGATGGACGTCTGTGTCTTCAGCAGGCGTAGAGCTAACAGAACTGGCAGCGTTGCGAGGCAAGGGCTCAAACATGTACGGCTGGAAGCCTTCTACACCAAACCAAGCTTCTGCCGCCCTGGCGTCCTCTTCCACAACATCTTCGTCCCCGCTTTCCTCCTCTAAATAAAAAATGGATGACGGAGGAGACTCATCCATGACCTCCGACACTAAACTCTCCTCCTCTTGCATGTTTCCTCTGTCCATAGCGTTCCTTGACAGCGTCGTTTCTAAGTCACCAATTTAGTGCTACTTGGTCCCAATGGAATTTCCCATTGGGAACCTACTAGCAATAAGTTGCTAACTGGTTAGCAACATGCTTCCGACAAACCGGCCACAACCAAACTTTCTTGCGAACCTTCTGCCACAACGATCCAGCCCCCTTGATAATCGACCAATCACATTCCCTTTAATCACTCGTGTGAAATCGGGCACCACTCGGGAGAAAACAGAAATGCAACGGATATAACAAGTTCTTTTATTTTATTTAGATAATTTGTATGAAAGATAAATAGTGTTATAATGTTTTATCTTCTTGTAAGAGTTTAGGCCTTTTCTCAATTCACAAGAACGCCAGTACGGACTCCGGTTCTCACCAAGCATGTTCTTGATAAGAACCCAGGACAGTCTGGACTCGGGGAGAAAGGGAGCAAGCAGATTAAATCTGGCTCAGTTGGAAGAGAAGCATATTGATGACATCACCACATTCAAAGCTCGTCTAGAGCTGCATTGTGAATGTTTGTTGTGAAACCTCTTAGAATCTAATGTTTTTCTTCACTCCATATCTCAGACTTCACTTTGTTAGCTCCACACTTCCCTGGGAGATGCTAGCTGGCTTAGCTGCAGTAGGCTACTTCCTTCTTTGCCCCGTGTGCAAATGCTCAGTACTGTTCGTCCTTTTTTTTTTGTAAATATACAAAAAGGGCTTTTTATTACTAATAACCTGAGCAAGAACAAAGCGTAACACTTAAAAATAGCAAATAAATACACCAGCAGGGCGCAGCCAGGTATGTAAGCAATGTTAGCTACTGGTGTATAAATGTAAAATGATTATCCACGCCTTTTTGGTTTCCCGTTTAGACTACTGTAACAGTCTTTTCTCATGTCCAAAGAAAGGAGTCGTCTCGTCCTCAGCGGGTTCAGGTCACTGACTCGTACCAACAGAAGGGCTCATATTATGCCGATTCTAAAAGCTCTTCATCGGCTCCCAGTCTGTTTTTGGTTCCAGTTTAAAATCCTGGTTCTGACCTTCAGGGCCTTCCACGGTCAGCCTCCCTCCTACATCAGAGACCTGCTGTGTCCTTATACTACCCCCCCCCCCGGGAGGCAGAGGTCTCAGGACCTGAACCTGTTTCCTCCTACGCGTTACAGGACCAGGGGAGATCGCTCCTTTCAGGAACGATCTCCCACTTTCATTACGCTTCCTTGATTCTGTTGATGTTTTTAACTGAAATTATATTTGTTTAAGAAAGCAGTTTAATTCCAGTAGATTAAGGGTTGCTTTATGATCATGTGTTTTCTGACTGTGTTTGTATTTTAATTTTGTGAAGCACTTTGTGACCTCCATGTCTGTGAAAGGTGCTATAGAAATAGACATTATTTACTTTCTACTTACTAAAAAAGGTCAAATAATGTAACTATGCTCCTTTCTGTCCACTCCACATAATCCAAACTGATACGTTCACATTAATGTCCGTCTCCATCCCATCATTTAAACTGGGCCCATATTAACAGCTACTTATTGCTGTCATGATGCCCTTTGTTTCTGGAGTAGGAGGGGATTGGTCATGTGACAGTGATGTTTGATGGATGTTTGAACTGAAACAATCTCTATTTGCTGTATTTCTATAGCTCCGATTCACATCACGTCATATGAAGGCACTTTCCAGTTCAACCAGACTATCCAGTCAGATTGGTTTAAAGTTTTAGAGACAAGCAATGTCAGCTGTTCCGATGGTGTCTTTTGAAAAGGCGAGGGAATGTATATATTAGTTAATATTGGTTATTGGCTATAACAGAGAAGTGATTATCAAATATCAGTATTGGTCCAGATTTTCATATCACTGCATCTCTGATACGTAGCAGGAGAAAATCCGATGGCCCAGAGATTTGGACAGAAGTCGGTGTTCTTCGCTGTGGGTTGATTTGTTGTTGTTTTTTAAGACAATTCTCTAAATGTAAAAATGAAATACAATCAATTGTTATATTATCTGTAAAATATATTATGTCTGAAAAGGGGTATTAAGAAGTTATTGAGGCTATTGATTAATGTGTCTAAAGCCTTTTTCCCACTGAAAGTATCGGGTTAACGCGTGTTTTCCAAACACGGTTTGACGCGCTAACAATCGGCATTTAGCTCCCTGCCCACCGGCAGTTAAAGCTGCTCTAACCCGTCGCTGGCAGCTGTGTGACCTCTGACCTCTAATTAGGGCTGAAAAAATTTAATTAATCATGATTAATCGATTATTGAAATCATTGTAAACTAATTTAGTCATTGATTAATCGTTAACTGGAGTATAGAGACTCTAAAACATTCCTTTAGCTGATGGAGAAACACACTTAGAGCAGTAATTATAGCAAAATTGTAATAAAATATATAAACATGTGGCATTTAAAATAAAAAAAACATTTTTATCTGTCAATATGTTCTATCCAGAACTCCTCAATTGGAAAAGTTTTAGTTTCACCTGGTTTAATTTTTAAAAAAATCTCTTTGGCTATCCGATTATTAATCGATGAATTTAAAAAATAATAATTAGCTGCAAAACTAAACCTAATAGGTTCCTCTTTGTTTTATCTTATAAATCAATTTAGTAATATGTAAAAAAAAAAATAAACATTTTTATGTTTATTCATTCAGTGTTTAACACAACTGGAACAATAAATAGTTAAATTTAATGACATTTTTTAAAATTCAGCATATTGTAAAAAATAACTTCTTGCTGCGCATCAGTTAATCATTAGTTGATCAAGAAGACCAATTATCACTTTGTATTCATTCTTTCATTAATAATGTGCATCTTTAATTAAAGTTGCTGTTATTTATTGCTGCATGCAACAAATTATATACAAAGTAGGGCTGAAACAATCAGATTAATTGAGTATTGAAATAATCATAAACTAATTTAGTTATCAATCAATAGTTAACTGGAATATAGATAATATTTTCAAAAAAGACCCTCATATAGCAGTATTACATTATATTATTACAGGGTTCCTGCAGGTCCTTAAAAAGTCTTAAAAGGCATTGAATTCTTCCAAATAAAACTAAGGCCTTAATTGGTATTAAAATGTTTTAAATCAGTCTTTCGTAGGTCTTAATTTTTAAAACATCATAAATAGGATTATTTTTATTACGATTTATTTTTGTAATCTAAATAAAACGTAAAAATTGACAATTTTTTTTTCTTTTTTTATAAAAAAAAAACAAAAAACTTCTCCATTATTGGTTCTGTCCCGATAGCGGAACCAATAAGGCGTTGTTGCGGCCGGGACATTTGGGAGATGCACCATTAACTTTTTGTCTGGAAAATATGAGCAAGTGTAAATGTAACCAAAATTGTCTCCAGCCAAGAGTTTTCTCCATGGATAAAACCAGGGAACATACATGAGGCTCAGTGGATTTGGAGCAAGAAGTCATTCAAGCTCAGAACGATGGGAATTAAGGCAGTGGAGTCGCACATGCGAAGCACGAAACACAAAGCGTCAAAATGGAGTTACAGAGAAACAGCCGGTATTTCTCAGTTTAGTTCCACCCTTGTCTCTGCAACGCCTCCACTTATCACCAAATCAAACATACTAGGAAAACCATACAAAGAAAAATAGCTGCAAAAAAGACTTAGCACTGGTTATGTTGGGGCTTTAAAACTGATTTGTTTTGTTCCCTGCTAAAACAAAGTTTGTGAATTCAGTTAAATAATTGTTCAAATATATTTGTCATTTGTGTGTTTTTAGCTTTCTTCCTGTATGGGAAGCTTTTCAAAATTTGAAACATTAGTGCAGTGGTTTATGTTAAAATAAACATTTGGGTTAAGTTGTTGCAAGCAGGTTTTTCTTGCGTTTCTTGTGAATTTGGTCTTAAATTGTTATTTAAAGTGGCATTAAAAAGTCTTAAAAAGTCTTGAATTTAACTTGCCTTATGCTGTAGGAACCCTGTATTATTACAGTATAACATTT